TCCCAAATTTTAGATACCCCTCTAAATTCTGAAAGCACAGTAAGAAAGAATGACAACATTACAACTTGGCTACAAAGTGTTAATTAATAACTAGTATTTGTTCTCCCAGAGGAAAATTATTAACATTATAGAATGAAATTAAATATCATAATCTTCTTCTAATCGTTATGAAAAAATTTAGCATCAATGCCTGTTTAATTATTTGGGGATCTTTAGCTGCTATAAATATTATTTGCATAGTCATAAATATTTTCTGCTTTGTCCATAGACAATCAGCTAAGGATCTGTTGCTTGTCAGACTTAAATTAAAATCTACTTAAGGCTGCCTGCTGGCCATAAAATAATTACTTAGACTCGCTGAAGCCTGAATCTGTTAGATTTAGCAGTTAGAAGTGTTCTTTGCTTTCACAAGTAGGGGAAAGTTGCTTTTTCTTATATAAATTTCATTACTGATACTGTTAAAGAGGATTAGGGCGGAGTTGAAGTAGTTGAAAATTTAATTAATTTAATCCCTTTAACAGGAATTGTTTTCGTATTGATAATTCTTTGTAACAACAGTATTACAGATCACACCAATGAGAAATATTTGCACTAAATATTTTAGCATATAATCTGTCCTCTAGCTTTCTCTTTGGGGAAAGGTAAGATTTTCACTTCCTTCCACTTGTTTTTTTTTTTTTTTCCTTTGAAGCTTAAAAGAAAAGGACCAAAATAAAATCTTTTTTTAAAAATCATTCCCTCTGCTAATTTTCTCTCAATGTCATTATCTCTCAGTAAATTACGTCAATGGCCATCAAATCATTAACCTCATAAGAGAGCGTGAGTGTAAAGAAATAAGAACAATCCAATTGATTTTTTTTTTTGTATCTACAGTCATTTGGTGTAGATTCTCATTTGAAATGATTTGTTTATCCACTGATTTCAATACATTGTTATGCTGCTGTAAATATCACTCAGAGTAGAGTCAGATGAAGGACGAAACTGCTATTCTTGCCCACCCCCTCTGATCACCTGCAGTGTGGATTGGGAATTGTTCTTAATCTACTCAAATGACACATTATCAGAGAGACCTTCTCTGACCTCCCCATATGAAATTACAACCACGATTCTCCTCCAAAGCCATTTCCCCTGAAAATTGGATTTATTTTTCTCCCTAATAATTACCATCATGTAACGTTATAAAGGCATGTTTTTGTTTAGTGTTTCTCCCCTGAGATGGAAAGCATCAAGGAAACCAAGGACTTGGATTTGTTTCCTGTTATATCCTGAGAAGCAGATGACTGCATTGGATGTATTAGAAGCAATAAATGTTGAATGCATGAAACTTTTCTCTGCTTGTTCAAGTGCCTAGAGCATCGCATCTGTGTGCAGCTACAAAACTGAATATAGACATAGACACTTATTCTGAGCTGGCTGTTCTGCTGAGTCCCATGAAAAGGAATGGATTGGAACAAAAGCAGAGATCAAGTGCTTTGTGTGGTTACGTCTTCATTGAACTAAAATTGAGTTGTGCTTCTACTCATTTATAGTTTTAAGAGGTACACGATGCAGAAAAGCTCAAAAGATTCCCTCCATGGACTACATCTGCAGACTAGTTAGGGGGATAACAAAGTAGTGAGTTCTAAACAGAAAAAAAAAGCCTCATGGTCAAACATGTTTTTGAAACTCGGCATTGCACAAAGTTTTTTTTTTTTTTAAGGCATTTTAGATGTGATTGTGTTCATTAGGATCTGAGAAAAGAAAATCTTAAATTTGATTGGCACAGAAGGAACCCCGTTGGCAAGGGAGGTGAACACCAAGGCAACATGAAGGGAGAATTCCCGGCCACAACTCTTTCTTATGTGACCTTGGGCATAATACATAGCAGCATTCTGTTCCTCTTTTTCCCTTCTATAAAATAGTAAGCAGAAGGATTGCCCAGGATAATACATACAAAATGTCCAATGTGTAAGAGCTAACTAAATGCTATATATTACCAATACCTTTTCTGGGATGTAGAAATAGACATCTTTCACAAGGATTAATTCAAACATTCTTTCTTAACCAGATTGTTAGTATTAGCCCATTCCACAGTGAGTCTGATATGTCTCCTCTGACATTTCTGGTGACCTTGACTCATCTGAAAAGATCTGTGCGAAGAAATGCTATTTTCACCACAACTGAAAGTAAATGTCTGATTCCCGTGTGCCCTGCCATGTTGATCCCCCTTGATCCCATGCCCTGACCTCAGATAAAGACACTCTTGTCAGGATGAAGGTGGCAGCACCCTAGTTCTTGGTTGTGCAGATTCCTAACCTGTGGACAGATTTTCAATTGGCCATATTTTTTCCAGTAAATTTCAGACGCAGATATTATTTGTGTAAATCTGACCCTTTCCAGTAAAATCCACATTTACATAGATTCTGAATTTATAAATCCTGACAGATTTCACAATATTTATAGCCCTTCGTAAAATGCTTTTCCAGGTTGCAGAGCTTTGCATTGGGTTCCCTGGTATGCTCAAGAGAGTTTAAATAATAACAAATTTGCTGATTTATTCCACCTGGAGCAGAAACTTATCCTTCTCCTACCTCAGGCCCGCTCCCTGGGTTCTTTGTGAAGGGGGCACCTATAAATAGTGCACAGACGCTGGGATCAGAAATAGGGAATTGAAACTGGAGAGAGAAGTACAGAAACATTTCCATTATCACTGATTTCTGCAGTATATTTTGTGATAGAAAGACTACATTCGCATGATTCTTACTTCATGTATTATAATTCCTCTATTCTACTGTTATTTTGTGCATCATTTACTGTGCCTAGTTTATAATTGACATCTTGTCACAGATATATGTTTAGAATAAAACATACATATGACTCAGTATTGTCCTCGGACTTGGGTATCCACTGAGGCTCTTATAATGTTCCTGCTAAGGAAAAAGAGGAACTGCTATTCCTGCACAGTTGACGCAGTTTGATTTCTTAAAATGAAAATAAAAATCTGAGAGCAGGCTGTTCACCATATAATGTAAGCTGAGAGTAGCCATTCAGTGTAGCACAGTGGTATAGCAACTTCCATCTGGCTTCTTGTTAGACTAGGTTGTGAGGGAAGAGGCTTTGTTAGCAGAACAATAATAACTAATGTCCCTGGAGAGGTGCTGTTGGGCCTGCAGGGAGAAACAAGCACATCAAGTGCCCACGAGCTGATATGTACCCTCTTACTTGAGTACCGTCCAAACTCTGCATCTACAGGCTCTGCATCTGAAGATTCAACTAATCAATCAAGAGAAATGCCCTCCCCACTCAAAAAAGAGAAAGCAAACCTGAATTTTCCCTGTGCTGAACACCGTGCTGAAACCACAGGAAGGAAGCTACATAAAACCTCTGACAATTCACATTTTCTTAGTCTCTCTCCAACACCCATGTGAGCGTTGTTTATCTCTTGTTGTTCAAGTAATATGTTGTTAGACCTCTTCATACTGAACACATACAGATTTTTTTATTATTTCTGTTCCCTAGACAATATGGTTTAACAGCTATTTACATGGTATGGATATTATAGGTAAGCTGGAAAATGACTTATATACACAAGAGGGTGCATATAGGATGCATGCAAGCACTATGCTGCATTTTATATAAAAAAAAATTGAATATCCAAAGACTTTTGCATCCCTAGGGAGTTCTGGAACTGATTTCCCATGGATGCACAGGGACAACTGTAGTGAGTTTTGTTGTCCTGATAACTTGGACCACAGTCCCAGCTCCAAGAATCTCCTGAGCAATCCTCTTATCTTCTACTAATAGGATGGCAGATGTTTGGCCCAGGCCCAGAGCCTGTCATGTACCACATTTTAATGATTTGTGGTGAACAAAGTAAATGTTTTAAAACCAGGCTTTATGAAGCAGGGACCCAGTTAAGTATGATGGATTTGAGGCAATGCCAAGAGAAGCTGAATCTTGTATGGGGACATTGTTTTCTAAACAGGACATGGGTATATACGGTTCATTGCTAATTCTAAATCTTTCCTTGAAAAATGACTTTGGAAAACACTGTGCTGCTGGGAGTGTCCTTGAGACAGGCAGGAACTTTCTGTGCTTTGCTATAGCATCATTTTAAGAAGAAGCAGGGAGCTGACCTGTTCAACAGTTGTTTGGTGTCTTTGTGTTTCTCTGACTGCGTTATGGATCTAACACATTTGAGACAAATAAGTGGTCGCATTTGGCAAAGTCCATGGAATGAAGTAAAAAGGGAAAATTACCATACTGCTTTAAAAAAATTATTTTTATTGGTAAGTCATATTTACAGAGAGAAGGAAATAGAGAATGAGAGGGATTTTCTATCCACTGGTTCACTCCCCAGTTACTTCAATGGCTGGAGCCGAGTTGATTCAAAGCCAGGAACCAGGAGACCCTACTGGGTCTCCCCTTTGGGTGCAGTGTCCCAAAGATTTGGGCAGTCCTCAACTGCTTATCCAGGCTACAAGCAGGGAGCTGGATGGGAGCAGGGACATGAAGCAGCACTTGTACGGGATCCCAATCCCTATGAATGCAAGACAAACACTTAGCAAGTAGGCTACCTTGACAGGCCCTGCTTTTATTATGTATGTATGTATTTATTTATTTATTTTCAAAAAGAAATTTCACAGAGGAGCGATAAAGAAAAATCATCCATATACTGGTTCACTCTTCAAATGATCACAATGGCCAGAGCCAACCCAATCCAAAGACTGGAGCCAGGAGCCCTAGGACTTGGCATCTTCTGCTACTTTCCCAGGCTGTGAGTGGATTGGAAGTGGAGTAGGCAGGACACAAACCAGCACTCAATGAGCCTTCTCAACAGCCCCAGAATACTGCTTTTAATGAAAGCTGTTAAAGAGGAAAATCCAGTCAGGGCAAATAAAAAATTATTACTGAAAATGAATTTTTTTTTCTCTCTTCAGGGTTTCTTGCTCAACAACAACAATATGGCAACATGTGTCGACCCGTGTTTTGACACCTTCTCTTTTATTCTTCTTCCACAGGGTAACCCCTACATGTGCAATAATGAATGTGATGCAAGCACCCCAGAGCTGGCACACCCCCCTGAGCTGATGTTTGATTTTGAAGGAAGACATCCCTCCACCTTTTGGCAGTCTGCTACTTGGAAGGAGTATCCCAAGCCTCTCCAGGTGAACATTACTCTGTCTTGGAGCAAAACCATTGAGCTCACAGACAACATAGTGATTACCTTTGAATCAGGTCGTCCAGACCAGATGATCCTGGAGAAATCCCTGGATTATGGACGAACATGGCAGCCCTATCAGTACTACGCTACAGACTGTTTGGATGCATTTCACATGGATCCCAAATCCGTGAAGGATTTGTCACAGCACACGGTCTTAGAAATCATTTGTACAGAAGAGTACTCCACGGGGTATTCCACAAATAGCAAAATAATCCACTTTGAAATCAAAGACAGGTTCGCATTTTTTGCTGGACCTCGGCTACGCAATATGGCTTCCCTCTATGGACAGCTGGATACAACCAAGAAACTCAGAGATTTCTTTACAGTCACAGACCTGAGAATAAGACTGTTGAGACCAGCCGTTGGCGAAATATTTGTGGATGAGCTCCACTTGGCACGCTACTTCTACGCAATCTCAGACATAAAGGTGCGCGGAAGGTAAGAGAACATCTGTCAACCTTGAATGGGAATAGGTAGATCTAAAGAAAACTTCAGTATGTTGGTCCACAGCTGGAAAGGAACATTTGTCAATTTCTGCTGCAGTATTTTCTCGGGAACACCAGTGTAGAAGTAGTTTCTGAAGGCATTTGAAACCTTTTGTACTCAGCAGTAATTTGTAATCCCAGGCTTGCTGTCATTGAACCTGGCAGGATTCTTTAGAATCTAAACAAAAGCCAAAAAGAAAAAAAAGTCTCATTTCAGACAAAAGAACTCCCTAGGTCAGGAGATGGTATAAGTCTTTAAGGTAATAAGCCAAGGGAGTAAAGCCAGTTGCTCTGCAAGGCTTTGAAAATATAATATACACCTTGCCTTTTTTTTTTAATGAAAGAAAGGGTCTCAATTTTTAACTACAGTATGTTTATATTTTGTTATGTTGCACACAGAACCTAGCAGAAGTAAGAAATTCTGATTCTTCAAATGTATTAAATAAAAAAAAGCAAAGCTTGCTGATAGGAAATGGATGAATTTCTTAAAGAAGGACATGTTCTACTTGTTAAATTTCTGGATATAGCTGTACTAAAGAGACATAACTTTTGCTATCTTCCTATTATGGATCAGTTACTGATGATGCAGTATGGTGACATTAATAATCACAGAGATATATTTGGTTTTGATTATATATCTAAAACAAGCCCAAATGAGCAAAGTTCAAGACTTCCGCAGGTGTATAATTGAAAAACTCTAATGAAGAGAGACAGGGTTGCCAACTTAGAGGTTTTTAAACAAATTGTTAAGTGTGGCATGGCATCAAAATAGCCAACCAAAGGCAGTAGCAGGAAAACTGAAGATAAAAGCAGAAAACTGGGTGAATGGGGAGGGGAGGAGGAAATGAAAAACAAATCAATGATTATACATTCCATGGGAGATTTAAATCAACATTGAAGAAGACAAAATATCTCATAGGTTTAATTAAGTAATCTCATTCAGAGAGCTAGCTCTAGATTCCCCAAATACAGCCTAGATCTTGGGAACTGGAAAAATAAACTGACTCTGCTTCTCAGAAGGTTGCTGGGGGCAGGTTTGGAGGGGTTTTAGCTGCTTCTTTCTTTGTCTTGCTCTCTGCCTCTCAAATTAAGTAAATAAATCTAAAAGTATTTGTGAACCTTCCACACTAGGGTAGGACCCACTGTTTTCTATAGCTGGCTTGTTGCAAATGTAGGATCCCTCCAGATTGACTTTTCTTTTATCCCTCATCGTGATTCTGTTCTCCAACTGCACTGCAGCTGTTCTGTGGAGTTTGGAGGAAGCTTCCTCCCTGCTCCCGGACTCACCTCCACTGTCTTTCTCTGATCACCAGTCAAGTACAAGCAGGTGAGAAGCAGCTGGGCTTAGCAAAAGGTCCAGTAGAGGTGAGCCCCTTCCATCATGTTCCACTCTGTCACCTCTACACTCCATCCAACTTCCTTAGGGCAAAACTGGCACTGGCATGTACTGCACTAAGCACCAGATGGCCGGAATATTTTTAGTCTTAGGGGAGGGACTAAAGAAGCAAGGCCTGATGGCTTGGGCATGTCTCCAGCTTTTAAGTTATATAAGGGAGATCTGCTCATCATGGAGGCACTGAAGGGAAATGTTGAGCTATTGCCTGGTTTGTGAGCTCTCTCAGCCTAGGCACTGGAATAATTATCTTATTCTTGAGAATTTTGCTACAAGTCATTGTCTAGATTATATTTCTCTTATCCAACAAACATCTACAGAAAGATCAGATGTTAATTGATGATCTTTATGAGACAGTTCTAAGTGTTCCTTTTTCAAGACTTACAGTCTTGAGTATAAATTTTCCAAATACAACTGAGGTCTTTGTTTCCTGCAGTGTTAACCCCTCCATTCTCTCCATCTTTCCATGCAGTGAATGCATCATTTTGCATGCCTTTACATGTTTATCTCTGATTGTGATAATGATGTCTTTCTACCTCCCCTTCCTCCCCGCACACACACAATCATGTGGGAATTGATGTGAGTTATTTTGGAAAAGTGAAATGGAGACTAGATGTAAATATCCAGAAATCAGTTACAGAAAATTTTTCACCTTAAAGATTAAAATATTGAAAATAGTAAAAATATTAAGTTGTGTAACAACAGTTGAATATCTTTGCTTAAATTGTCTAACAGTTAGTTTCTATTCTCTATTTCTTTATGCACATGTACATTTTCTATAGACCAGTGCTGTTTGGCATAAAAATGATTATCATCAGACTAGTGCAGCTTCTTTTTGGCATGTTATACATCTGATGGCTATTTTACTGGTGAGAAACTACAAAATCACCATGAAAAATGTGTTTCTTTTCTGCAACATACTTACTTTGCTTCCATTTATTCACCTCATTTTGTATTTGTTAAGATAATGGAGGGGGAAAAAAGGAAACACCGCTGTTGGCAATCTCAGCGACTCTGTAGTACTTACATTGTTCAATAGACCTAATAATCTTCTTGGACTAATTCTGACTTATGGATGTCCTGCTTCAGTAAATCAGGGTGATTTTCTCTTGTGAATAATAGGCGAGTGCGGTGTGCCAGTACCTTAATTAAAGAGCCGCTCTCTTAGTCTTGATCTCATTTTAATTTACAGGGTAATACTACAATAATATCACTAATGGAAGGTACATTAAAGGGCATCAAGTAGCATTAACTGTATTAAATTATGGTACTTGTGTTAATTAACTGCTGAAACAAGATGGTCCTAATGGCCAAAAAGGTCGTCTAATGCATAAATAAAATCTACCCAGATGAGAGGTGAGAGGAGAAATGAAGAGTAGATGTTTGTCCTGAACAGCTTTCTGTGCAGACAGGGGGGTAATTCAAAAGCTGTTAAATATAGATAATTTGCAAAATGTTTTCTGAGTTACACAGTTGGAATTTCTGATTTGGAAGTATTTTGCTTCTTTCTAAGCTTTCATAATTAAGCTAAGTGAAGAGTTGAACATGGGATTTGTCAGAGTCATAGATTTTACAGACTATAAACTCGATATTTCTTTGACATGCCCCTTTTCAACAATATAATGGGGTTTATTGTGACAAATTTTAAAACTGCATAGCAAGCGAATATTTGCTCATTTGCACATTTAATTTTAAGATATTTTGTCAGTAACATATCAAGTGACTGGTTTTGTGTATGAAATAACAGAAATTTCTTTCAATAGGAACTTTAAGACAGAATGATAACAATTTATCCCAATGGCCTAGAAACTCTAATTGCCCTTTCCATTACTTATGTTTTTAGGAAGGATCCCTAAAGCTAATCCTCAGTAATTTTCCATCCATAAAATGTGTTAGTTTCTTACTCTGTGTCACATTTCCTCAGGATTCTTCTCAGGTAGACGATGGTCCAAATATGAGTGTAGTTTCCCTGTATCCGCAGTTTTGCTTTTTGCAGTTTCACTCACCAATATTTGATTGTAGTTCAAAAAATATTAAATGGAAAAGCTCAAAGATCAGCAATTTATAAGTTTTAAATTGCTTTTCTTATAGGGCATTGTTATAACTGCTTTATTCGTGTCTAGTACTGTTGTTAATCATTTACTGTGTCTTATTTACAAATTAAAGTTTTACATAAGTATTTATGCAATGTATATAACAGAAAAAAAAATACCTTACTGTGGATTTCCATACTGTCCAAGAGTTTAACACATGTCCCTGAAATGTAGTGCTGTGTCCCCCATGGATGGAAAAGTAGGCATAAGAACAACTGGAGTATTTTCGCTTCTTCCACCTCTGGTGTTCACCTCTAAGAAAGAATTCCAGTAATTGTACCACAGAAGCTCCACTTCCACGGAGTTCCCAGTGCTCTCCTCACCTCTCTATTGCCCTAGCTAAGAACCACAGCCTCTCTGCCTGACTAATCACAGCATCCAGAAAGGGACAGGGACAGAGCCAAAGCCTTCTTTCCCCTCCAATCCTTCCTGAGTGAAAGGAATGAGAATGCCTGGAGTCCATCTCATTCCCGGAAGGAGCCAAGATTAAATGTGTGCACCTTTCCCCCTCACATGTTGCTGTCTTGGTATTTGTGTAATCTGAGCAAGGTGAAGGCAGCATTCGCTCTGGAAGCAAAACTTTCAAATAGCGAGCCCCATAATGCATTGTGTCAAGTAAGTAAAAGCATTTGAGGAAGTATAAAAGCATAGGCATTTTGTATATAGTTTTGCAAAATCACATAACATAGAAGTGATTTTTTCTAATTACAAAAGGTTTCTTATTTATTCTGCAAGTTCTATGAGTTTCCTAGTCACAACTCAAATGAGCTCACAAGACAATTTCAGCATGCTGACCCTAACCATGATCTGTTCTTCCCCAGTTAGTCCTTACTATCCGGGTCAGGCTTTTCTACTACATAACAGATTTGGCTTTTCTAACACCTGCTTTCTGTCTGTCAGCAGCGTGTGCTTGCCCTCTGCCCTAGGAAGTGGTCATCAGAGATGTGTAGGCAATCTTCTTTCCTTTCCTTTCCTTTCCTTTCCTTTCCTTTCCTTTCCTTTCCTTTCCTTTCCTTTCCTTTCCTTTCCTTTCCTTTCCTTTCCTTTCCTTTCCTTTCCTTTCCTTTCCTTTCCTTTCCTTTCCTTTCCTTTCCTTTCCTTTCCTTTCCTTTCCTTTCCTTTCCTTTCCTTTCCTTTCCTTTCCTTTCCTTTCCTTTCCTTTCCTTTCCTTTCCTTTCCTTTCCTTTCCTTTCCTTTCCTTTCCTTTCCTTTCCTTTCCTTTCCTTTCCTTTCCTTTCCTTTCTCCTTTCCTTTCCTTTCCTTTCCTTTCCTTTCCTTTCCTTTCCTTTCCTTTCCTTTCCTTTCCTTTCCTTTCCTTTCCTTTCCTTTCCTTTCCTTTCCTTTCCTCTCCTCTCCTCTCCTCTCCTCTCCTCTCCTCTCCTCTCCTCTCCTCTCCTCTCCTCTCCTCTCCTCTCCTCTCCTCTCCTTTCCTTTCCTTTCTTTTCCTTTCCTTTCCTTTTGATTTTG